AGAAACTACCACATACACATACATGAAACACGTTAGACTCAGCACTAAAAAGTAGTACTTTTTTGGTTTTTTTTTTGTTTATTATTTTGTGTGTGTGTGTGTGTGTGTGTGTGTGTGTGTACCATCAACTCAGATCTGACTAGTACAGGAGGAGAATGCCCCTCCTTCTCCAGCAGAGCATCTGGTGGATTTGAACCACGTACATCTGGGATTGCAGTGCAGCTTCTTGTCACTAAGCCATCAGAGCTCCCTAAAAGTAGTACTTTTTAAAGTTAGGGCAGTAAGCTGGCCCTAGCTTGCTTTAAAAATTTATGTAAAATCTAAGAAAATGTTATAAAAGATGATAATTCATTTTATGGAGGATTGAAGTGAATAAGAATTAGGGGGGAAGAAAATGATTAACCTGAAAAGTTGTAGTGAAATATTTTGGTTCAAAGATCTGTCATTGCAAGCATGTGGAAACTGACACTGAGCCATGCTATGTTTATAAGTGTAGATATTCTCTTTTTCAGTCATTAAGGAAAATTTCCTTTGCTGAAATGCATTTTATATATGTATGTTCTGATACTGATAATGGCATTAAATAGTATGATGTTAGTTTATCTTTTTATATAGAATTATGTTAATCTCTTGAAGAATCACTTACTCAGCAATGTCTTTGGATTAAGTTTACAGTTTAAGTTACTATACAAGTTCATTATCTGAAGGCTAAGACTCCAGTACTATGTGAAGTCCTTAACATATAGAAAATATTCAACACTTCACTTTTAAAATCTAAACACTTCACTTTTAAAATCTAAACAATGGTGCAACCCCTGTGGAAAGCAGTATGGCGCTTTCTCAAAAAGTTGCAAATAGAGATACCATTTGACCCAGCAATTCCACTACTGGGAATATACCCTGAAGAGACCATAGCTGACATCCAAGCAGATATATGTACACCCATGTTTATTGCAGCTTTGTTCACAATAGCAAGGAGTTGGAAACAACCTAAGTGCCTATCAACAAACGAATGGCTAGAGAAGCTGTGGTATATTCGCAGAATGGAATACTATGCTGCATTAAAAAACAAGGAACTCATGCAATATTATTCAAAATGGTTGACTCTGGAGAACATTATGCTGAGTGAAATATCCCAGTCACAAAAGGACAAATATTACATGATGCCACTGTTGTAGAATGGGACTATCCTTGGGGTTGGGGAGAGACTGAGTAAGATGGGTTCAATAATGTATACTGCACTGAAACAGAGGAGGGAGAAAACTGTTTAAAAGAGATATATAACTAGGTATTTCTGTCATCACAGGAGACTAGAGCGAGGGCTACATGGTGGAGGGGACCTGGGGGAGGGTTTGTAAAACAATGAAAGAATCTTTTCTTTTACTTTTCTATAATTTTTGGACTCATGTACTTATAACTTTTTAGTCAAATTTGTGTCTTCTAGGTTGCAGCACCCCCATGATACATCTTCAAGGATATGAACATGTACGGCCAAGCACAATCAATAAGAGTGCATCTAAATTCTAAAATCAATCTCCATAATAGTCTATGTGTTTCCTACTGCCAAAGGGGCCCTTTAGAGTAGTGAGAGAAGATCTTCACCCTGAAACCCACAGCGTCCCTTTTCAGCAGGAAGTAGCTAAGAGAATACGCCATCCCCTTTTCCTTATGACTCAGGGTGAAGTCTCTCTCAGGGATGAGTGATAGGGAATGGCAAAGGATACACCGACAAAGAAGATTAATCAGAACTGGCTTTGACAGGCACTGTGGCATTTGGACAAGAACAAACTGGGAGGAGGGTAGAGAGAATAGTGCAACAATGAATGAATGGAAACCCAAAATCTCTGTAAATGTTGATGAAAATTAATAAAATATAATTATAGAAAAAAAATCTAAACAATGAATAGAATTTCTAATCTTAAAATTCTTTATTGTTTTTCAATGTCTATGCTAACATGGATTTTTTTTCCACCTTAATCTCTGCTGATAGGTTGTGTCTTTATTTCATGCTTTACAAGTTAGCTGAAATTCCACTGTGGCTATAAAGTTTCCTTAGATATTGTAGCATGGATTAAATTATCCTCCTCTGTGTAATCATAATTCATTTTCTTTCCAAGAGTGCAACCGTATCCCACCTTCCTTTGTACTTGACTGTGAATGTATCTTCCCCCTGAACTAATTGCTGGTTTTGAATGACAGAGACCTTAGCCAAGCCATCTTTTTATTCCAGAGAATTCCTATCCTAACGTTTTGCTTGAGGTTATTAAATTAAATGAAAGAGTATAATTATTCAGTATCATTTTCCTGAGGTCATATTATTAGACTGAAATGGAGTTAAGGGAATGGTAACTGATGTCTAAAATTCTAATTGCTGAATTCAGTCAGGCCCTTAGAAAAGCAGTATTAGAGACTTTCAAATTAGAGTAATGAACAGTAGATTAGACCAAGGACATTAGAACACAGTGTCCAGAACAGCTGTGCTGTGTCCTCAATGGGATAAGCAAACAGGTAATTGTCGATGTTTTTCCTCTTTCCTGCCTGTGTACTCTTCCAAAGATGCTCTCAACCCCAAAGCTCTGGGGATTTATTAGTCACAATAGCTCTGAAATGACTGTGATTATTTTTGCTATAATTTTCCATTTCACAATATCTGAAGTCTACCTTAAAAATAAAAACTAGCAGAATGATTCATGACCTCAAGTTATTTACCTGTCAGGATAATAGAGTTTAATAAGTTAAACAGACCCAGGAACATCTTTTTGTTGACACCATTGTCAATGTAGAATGGTTGAAATGACAAATCCTTCACATTCACAAAAAAAATTATTTTCAAAGGTCATTTAAAATAAATTATGCTCAGGGATAAAAAATTAATGACCTGGTTTTGTTTTTGTTCTGTTACATTGCCCTTTATTTTTCACTCCAGTTTCCTCTTTGTCTTCTACACTTCCCTTTATTTTTTTCAGATTTGTCATTCCAGTCTTCAGCCTTATATTGGTCTATTTACAAATGTTTCTATTAAACCGCTAGTGAAAACCCTGGTGGCATAGTGGGCTGAGTGCTTGCTGCTAAACAAAGGAACCACCTTTTGAATCGAGCAGCCCCTCCTCTAGAGAAAGACAGTCTGCTTCCTGGGAGAGTTATAGCCTGCAAACCCCAATGGATGCTCCACAGGAATCATAATTGACTTTAAGATAGTGGGTAGTGTATTGACTTGGGAGATGTTTAAGCTTTGTTTTGTTTAGGGGTGGGAGAAAGTGCATTGCACTTAGATTTGCATCTAAAACACAAGCTAGTCCTCAATATTATATAAGAAGTCTAGTTCTTTTCTGGGACTGTAAAGGCCAGTATAGTCAAGTTTTCTGTCTGATTAGATTGTGGTATAGATGGAAAAATCAGCCTTAGAAAAAATGATGTGTGTATTGTGGTTATAGTCATGCAATCATTAAAAGACTTTAGGGACACAGTTGAATCATTCATTAGGGAAAGTAATTCTTCAGAACAGAAAAAAAATAGAAAAGGAATTCAAAAGAAGAGGAAAAATGTGAAAAAGATATATCTAAATGGAATATTGAGAATCAGTTTCCTGGAAAGTTAATAAGTCTTCAGACATTATTAGATAAAACTAACTCTTCTCTAAATTGAGAGAGTACAGCTTTCCTAGTATTTCATTGTACAGGTACCTTTCACTCTCATATATTCACATTACAAGCCTACCCATAAACAAAGAATTTTTTCATTATACTGGGACTAGAATTAATGAAACCAATCTAAAGAGCCTTTATAAAATAAGAATTATTTTCCCCCATGATATTACAATATAATTAACTGGTTATATTACAATGTTACAGGAAACACTGTAACAGTTACAAAGGAATACATTTCTCCTTTTCTACTTAGACTGAGCAAGGAAATACTATTCCTCTTCACCTACATTTCTATGTATGTCAAGTTCTTATTCTTGCCTTAAATAAATGTATTTCAAATATTTAATGTGAAAACATATATCACAGTCTGTAACATCTGCAGTCCATTTTGTATTCATTCCGAGGTTCATGTTTTTAAGGCATATATCTGAGTTCTAATAATTGGTACTTGACACCAAAGATTCAATGAAGATGCTTTTTTTGTCTGTATCTTTCCTATAGAAGAATAAAAAAAACTAACCACCTTTTAGACAATTACAATATATTTTAGTTCAACATGTCAGATTGTTGTTGTTTACATTGTGTACCATTGAGTCAAAATCAACCTATAGCTGACCCTCCAGTGGGTTTTCAGAAGCAGTAAGTCATATGAGAGTTGATTGCTCACTTTTCTCCCATAGAGCAGGTGGTGGATTTGAACTGAGCTCAACGTAGTGGCAAGAAACTGCGCTGCAATAAACATGGTTCAGGGACACCAGGTGCTTCACTGGAGAAGGATGGACAATCTCCTCCCTTGTGATTAATTAACTCTGAAAATTCACTGGAGGACCTCACTCTATGGTACACTACACACACACACACACACACACACACTGGCTTTGGCAGTGTGATTTCTTAATAGTAAGCCACTCCATATCAGATCGCCACTCAAAATTATTTTGAACCAATGTGACTATGAAACCAATAGTTTAATTAGGGGCCTTTGACCTGATGTTTAAAACCATTATTTTTTTAATAAGGGAGCTCTGGTGGCCTAGTTGCAGTGAGCTGTGCTGTCATACCAAATGTGCACTGTTCAAATCCTTTAGCTGCTCTTCAGGAGAAGATGGAAAATCTCCTTCTGTGCAGTTAAGATACCCCTGGAAACTTATTGGAATGTCAGCTGAGTCAGTTCTGACTCAAAGGTAAACAACAACAAAACAACACAGTTTGACTATTATTGTTCCTATTCAAAGGGAAGGTAAAAGGAAGAATGCCTAATGAATCTTTTCCTCACATATTAATTGAAACAAAACCCTTTCAGTTTTCTGTTGACAGACTCCACTGTTTCTGACACAATCTTTGTATCTGCAGGAAAATGTTGAAGGAGGAGACTGCAGTCGTTGCAAATCTGGCTTCTTCAATTTGCAACAGGAGAACCCGAAAGGTTGTGATGAGTGCTTCTGTTCCGGGGTTTCTAACAGATGTCAGAGCTCCTACTGGACCTATGGCAACGTAAGCACCAACTTCTAACACTGTACTCTGCTCCTTGGGCTCCTCCCCTCTCCCCGCTGTTGGAAATTCCTTTTGTGAGATTTATTTAAAAGTGTTTTTATTGTCATGAAAACTCCATTCTACTTACAGTTAGTAATAATAAGGGATGGGATTTTCTTTCACATGCTATCTGTGTATCTTTAAACAAAGCTTGTGACGTTTTAACCTTCACAACATGTTGTCAGGAATCTCTTAGAATATGCAGACACTAGTCTTTTCTGTACGTGAAATAGTAATGAAATTAATAATATTTTGAACCCAAAGGAAGATCTTGCAATAGAAAGTACATCAAATTGGTATTTAAAGAATTCCATTTCTCATTTAACCACTGATCATTGTAGACAGGTTAAGGAATAGAGCAAAGTTTAGGGCTCTCGTACATAGGGTCACTATGAGTCGCAAGTGACTCGACATCATGTAACAACAAAAACAACACTGGTTAAGGGTAGAGTGCTTGTGGCCTAGTTTGAAGAAGCTGCACTGCAATCTCCAAGCCACACAGTTTGAACCAGCTGCTTTGCGAGAGAAAGATGGACAGTCTCCTCCCTTGAAAATTATTGCCACTGAAAACTCACTATAGAGTCAGCTATTTGACTTGATGTCACCTAACACAGCACAACACAACAACAACAGCTATTTAAGGAGTTCAACTTCCAGCCCAATGGCAGGCTGTTAAGTATTCACTGATACTCTATAGGAGAAAGATGGGTCATCTCCTCCCATGCAATTTGCAGCCTCTGAAAATCCACTTCAGCTCTGAGTCAGCTCCTAGTGTATGACAGTTAATTAACCAAGTGAGGAAAACTGAGAGTTTTGGTGGAGTAAGCCTTTGGAAGTGGTACTGCTAATCTAGCAGTTCAAATCCACCGTGGCTTCTCAGGAGAAAAAGGGGCAGTCGCCTCTCTTGGGATTTGTTTTTGTTGTTAGGAGACATGAGGTGACTGCAGCACAGTGGCCTTATGAACAGCAGATCTGCCTGATCCTGTCCTTCACACCTCATAGTTGCTGTCATTTGAAGTCATTGTGGTATCACTATGTCAAACCATCTTACGGAGTGTCCCCCTTTCTCTCTCTAACTCTCTACCTTTTTCAGCATGATGTCTGTCTCTAAGGACAGAAAATATGTCCAGAGTAAAAGAGATGAAGTTTTACCATCCTTGCCTCTGAGGAGTACTCTGGCTTAATTTCTTTTAAGACAGATTTGTTTTTCTTTCAGAAGAAGTCCATGGAATATTTGTTACTTCTCACCAATACTATAATTCAACAGCATTTATTGTTCTTCTGTCATCCTTATTCATTGTCTAGCTTTCAGATGCATAGGAAGCAAGACCTAGAAAACCTGCTGGAGGGCCAGCTATGAGTTGGTTCCATGGAAGTTTTTGTTTTGACTGATATATATATATATATATATTTGGAATTTTAATTCATGATTGATCTGGAACAATTTAATTATTTAGTAGTTACTGGCACTTTTTATCATAACATAAACATGTTTACCTTTCTTCATCTGCTCTCTAGTTCACTCTCCATTACCTTTCACTGTGGGAAAAGTATGAGAGGCAAACAGCTCTTGCATAGTTTCTATGAGCGGAGCTTAAGAGTGCTAAATGGCAGATATATGTCAAAGAAGGAGAAATGTAGAGAGGGCACACACCAGGTCAGAGAAGCAGATGATGCTAAAAAGCTGAGGCCTTATACTTAGTCGTTTAAAGCTTTGAAGCCAGAAAATATTATTTTTAGATGTGTTTATTAAATTGATTTCAATTTTAATAAACTATTATTCAAAAAATATTTCCCTTTCAACTCTAATCAGCTAACAAATCTTTGTATAACTATATATCGTTTGTATAAAATATACAAATATGCATCTTTTCAGTGTAGTCTGAAACATATTGAGGATTTCTCCTAATACTTGCAATCCGTTATATAAATTTCAATCTATATGTACTATATCAGATCTTTAGAACGGACTGCATCAAATAAATTAGTGGAAGTCTTATTTAATTTGTTTGTTCTCACCCCTTCCTGCTGTCTGTGTCATTAATACTACAAAGTTTTACAGGCAAATTAAATGGCAAAGTTGACATACAAGACGTGACCTTCAGAAACTAAGTCTTCTAATTTTTGCATGTCAATAAGCCTGCTGCAAAGAAATGCTCTGGACATTACTGAACCCTTTTAGAATGACTGAGGATCAACACTGAGAAGGGAAAAAGAGGATATAATTTGCTATTTCTTGTCTATCCTGCCAAACATGTTAGTTGAGAAAAGGATACGACTTGCTGTCAAACTCCAAATACATTGCCTTAGGGTCAGAACTGACCCATAGCAGACCCTCCAGTAGTTTTTCAGAGTCTGTAAATTACAAGGAAGGAGACGACCCATCTTTCTTCCTCTGAGCAGCTGGTGGTTTCAAGTCATCTGTCTTTGGGTCAGCAGCACCAATCTTTATCCATTAGGTCATCAGAGTTCCTACATTGTTTTATAACTGTTCTTTATTTTCTACCACTCTACTTTCCTTAGTCTCTTTCACTTATCTGATCAGGGAAGTCCTAGTGATTTCTAAACTTCAAGAGATAAAAAGTCCACCAGCCTCTAGAGGCTATAAACATGCTATGGACTGTCTAAAAACATTATCATGACAACAGTATTTATAATGGGGTACATTTACCAAAATAAAAGTAAAATCTAAGGATAGTTTATTTGACCTGTTTATTATTTAAAATTACTATAAAATCATTACCCCAGATATTTGCAGCTTAATTTTTCCTCCAGATTTTTTTTATAATTAACAGTATTATCATCCATTATAATTTACGTTATTATGATTTATTAGTATTTTCTCAAAGCCTTGCTCTACTGATGTAGTCTCTAAGGAACTGTGCTCCAAATGCAAAAAGTAGCACCACTCTGTTGGTAAAATCCACCAGTGGCTTCATGTGAGAAAGATAGACAGTCTCTTCCTGTACAATTCATAGCCTCAGAAACTTTCTGAAGAGTCATTTAGGATTTGGTTCTAACCCAATATGAGTTACTACAAATTATGAATTATATACACATGAATACTTTCCCTACTTTATTTAACACTTGACCCTATCTATTATGGAATAAATATTAAAAATGGTACAGAGGCATATTTTCATCTTTACTTTTCTTTTGCTACAACCCACAAGGCCAGGTGTCTCACAGCCATCTAGTGTGGCTCTGTTAGCATCAAAGCTTGGAGATAGTATTTCAACCTGACCAAGTGGTACAGTTTATGTTAGAACTGTAGCTGCATGCCAGGCCTAGATTAAGGCAAAAGTGGGAAAAAAATCTTCTTTGTTTTTCTTGTATTAAGAACATGGTCTATCTGTCACCACTGCACTCTGATCCCTTAAGAAGGAATAGTCCAATATTGTGGGTGAAGACCATAGCAAAAAAAATATATTTAATGAGATTAAGCCTCAAAACTCAAATTTAAATAAGTGTAAAGGAAGAAAATACTGAATGAAAAGCTATCTGCTAAGTATTTGTGAATGTTCTGCCTCTGTTTTGTAAGCACACGTACATGTACATAGCTCTGGTGTCTTAGTGGTAAAGAGTTGAACTATAAACCCAAAAGCACATGATTGAAATACATCAGCTGCTCCAAGGGAAAGCGATGGACAATTGACTCTCATGCAATTTATTGATTCTGGTAACCCACTGAAGTGTAAGCTATGAGTCAGTTCTAATGTAATGATATATAAGAACAATTATTAATGAGCTCTAGGGGGTTAGTGATAAGAAGCTGCACTGCAGTTCAAATCCACTAGCTGCTTCATGGGAAAAACATGGGCAATCTATTCTCCTTTCATTAACTGCCTTTGAAAACTCACTGTGGGGTTAGCTATGATGGTACACAATAACAAATAAATATATTTCTTGTAATATATCTCTGGTCCTTGGAGAAGGTCATCATGATCGGGAGGGTGGAGGGATAGCACAGGAGGGGAAGGCCCTCTAAGATGTGGATTGATTCAGTGACTGGGGTAATTGGGATGGGTATGTCAGAGGCAGTGCGATTGGCACAGGATAGAGCAGAGTTTAGGGCTGTTGTACATAGGGTTGCTATGAGTCGCAAGTGACTAGATGGCACATAACAATAGCGACAACAACATACTATATATATATATATTTATAAATGAATATATATGTATTGTGTGTATATATATCTCCATTTCTATCTCAATATTGTGTGTCAACTCAGTGGAGATATAGATGATAGAGATAGAGACAGAGATAGAGATAGAGGTATAGGTATAAGTAGAGATAGAGATAGAGGTAGAGATATACTTAGCATACATATACACTGTATTATATATATATATATATATATATATATACACACAGACACACATCTTTTTCATAAATACAATGAAAATAACAAAAGAGAAAAACATTTGAGATTCAATTAGATTTTAAATCCTATAACTATAATTATATTTTCACTAAATGAATTTTTTTTCCAAATGCTATATTTGAGATAATATTTTTTATAAAAATCATTTGTTAATAAAAACATTATTCTTTTTGTTGTTGTTACTTGGTGAAAATCCACTCTGACTTCTGCTGAGCTTGAGTACAAGATGAAAGCTGTTCCATCCTGTCCATCCTCCTCTTTTCTGCTGTGTTTAAGCCCTTGGTGCACAGTACCAGGCAAACTCTGAGGTGTATCAGAAAAAAACCAACTGTGAGAACCAATAAGACTGGCACAGGACAGGGCAGGTTTCAGAACTGTTTTACCTGGGGTCGCTATGAGTTGCAAATGACTAGATGGCACATAACAATATGAATACGTAATGTACAAGCATAATATCACTGCCATTCAATCCGTTCTACCTCATATTGACCTACTGGTTTCTGAGGCTGTAAATCTATGAGAGGAGATCACATTATGTTTCTCCTCAGGAGAAGCTGGTAAATAAGAACTGCCCACCTTTCAGTAAGCAGCCTCTTCTGTTAGGCTCTGTTTAAATGACATTTTCAACTCTCATAGTTTCCTGTTTTTCTACTTTTCCCAAATAGCACAAATAATAGGGGGGCGGAGGGGGAGATGTTCTTGGCTTTTGCCTACTCTGAAATGAATGAGGCTTCTGTTTTCTTTAAGATACAAGACATGAGAGGCTGGTATTTGACAGACATCTCTGGCCACATCCGCATGGCTCCCCAGCGGGATGAATTGGATGTACCTGACCAGATCAGCATCAGTAACAGGGAGGCCAGACAGACTTTACCACAAGACTACTACTGGAGCGCCCCTGCTGCGTATCTGGGAAACAAAGTAAGTCCACAGATGGATGTCTCGTCTTACTCTGCTTTAACTGGGCAATAAGGAAAATAGCATTTCCTTTTTAAAAAAAGAAAGAAATCAAGTACAATGTATGGGAATGTCTGAAAATGCTGAATGTGATCCAGTGTGATGTTTTCTCGCAAATCCCAAGGAAGAGACATATATGTAGAGTTGGTTCAGGACTGTGCTGGTAAAAACCCTTGATACAACCTGTGTTCCATGTAAACTCATTGAACTAATGAATTAAATAACATAGCTGCTAGTATATTTGGTGAGACACATGACTGGTATCTGAAAAACCTGTGCTTTGTTTGCTTGAGATTATCTACAGTTGTCTGTGATGAAGGTTTTCTAATATATTTCTATTTCTTTCCAAAACTAATACTCAAGAGAGCTGCTTTATCTTCTGTCTTGTATGACAATATACTGGAAATAATTATTGCACAACTCATTTCCTGCTTGCAATGAAGTTTATGTAAACAACATAGTTCCTGAAACTCAGCAAGTGAGCTACCCTTTAAGAAGTGCCAGACTGAAAACATTGCTTTGTTTTGAAGCCCACCCACAGATAGATAAAACCATACATGGGTAAACAAATGCAAGTGTTTAAATATTTTTTTTATTTTCTTATTTGCTTCTTATTGTTGTCAACTAACTGGAAAGATACCTTATTCAGAATGTTATTTTCATTTGTCCAATAGTTTTTCAGATGTACAATGTGTTTATTGAAATATTGTTTGCCACTGTGAATGTTAGTACCTTCTTTGCTGATAGCTTGGTTACCTTATTGCATCAGAAGCTGATAGTTACAGGGAAAGCAAAATAGAGCATTGATGAAATTTGAAGTTTTGTTTACACCTGTAAAAGCAGAATTTTACTAATAAAAGAATATTTCTAGTCCTGGTTTCCTCAAAGGGTATGTGAGCATTGATTAAAAAAATAAAAACAAAAGAAAAACTTAATTTTTCATATGCTGCTCTATGCAGAGACCTGGCAGCTTATTGAAATATTTTCATCTCATAGCTAGTTTTTTTCTTAACAGGCTTCTAAATGCTATTATGAAAAATGTATAATGAATAAAACACATTTTCACTGAATATGTATTTTAAAGAGACAGAGAGTGTTGCATAAAATTCAATAGCTATAATAAAAATCTAATTAAACTTTTATTTGCAAGGCACTTTATGACAAGAAGTCATTTTGTCCAATTCTATGTAGGAAGCGCCTGTACTCCTAACAAGAATAAAATAGCCCATAAGAGTTGAAAAAGACTACTTAAAAATTAAAGCAGAAAAAAATAATAGACTTACTGTTTAAATTGCGCAGAGAAGTTCAGTGAAAAGATTTGGGTCAAAATTGGATGAGTTGAAAACGTTTTCTTTTTCTAGCTATTGTGAAATTTATTTAAAGATAGCTTAGAATGAAAAATACACTTTGCTATTTTTTTAATATATATTTTCTTCTTTGGTCTTCTTTCTGTTGGCTGAAAATCAGCATGACAGAAGGAAAGTAAGCAGATGGGATATTAAATAGCATCAGCAAAGAATTTGGACATCCTGTTCATAGTTGTTGGTTCTTAAAGATAACTTCCCTTCTCCTGGATGACCTATTTCTTATAATCAGTCATAATGGAGTACTTCACATTTCCTTATAGATAATTGTCATATCAAAAAGCTGCGCCTGTCCATGTTCCAGTTTCCATTCTGTGAGGAAAACACCAGTAACAGGGTATACAAAATGTTTGAATATGATGTGCAAAGTGTTTGAATATGGAAAGCATTCTTTAATGTAATGTAGAAGCCCTTGGTGGTTTACTGTCAGACAGCTCAGTGTGAATGAAACAATTTGCCTTAATAACTGAACCATATAAATTTTTGATACTACAATAATACTGCAAGCTCTCACAAATTACCACAGTTCATCTTAACTGTCATGTCACATCACGTAAATTATAGTCATGATGACATGCTTAGCTTGCTTGATTTAATATCTTGCTAAGGAAATGGAAAATTGTAAGGCCTTGTTTGTAAATTCAATAAAGCCACTTTTCTAAATAGTCAGGCCTAAATTCTTTACCAGTAATTGCTGTTAGAATCAGAACCATTGCCAGAAACTGACAGAAATAGTCTATCAAGATACAAGTACATCTGCTTAAACACTGAATTACTTTTATATCCATGACCTAGAGGCTCTGGATACGTAATCCTCCTCCTGCTTCCTAGGTTAAAAAATATTTATGAAATGCTATTAATGTTTCCAAATATTTATATACCCAGTTTTCAAATATTTTCCAAGTAATTAGGTTGTAAAGTCTACTTGTTACAGAAGAACAATGTGCTGTGCTTATTCTATTCTAATGAGGATACCACATAGATCCTTTCCTTTTATCTTTTAACAAAAATAAGAAAATTGCTCTCACTTGAAACACTTAGACCCGATCATGCAATTGTGTGTGTGTGTGTGTGTGTGTGTGTGTGTGTGTGTGTGTGATCTTAATAAAATGATAAAAGCAACCTGTTTAGTAAAGAGTGCATCTTATTCTATGGAATATTTTTTTATGTGTGGCAGATTCTCTATGGAATAATGAGATATAAATAACTGATTATAAATGTGTGCAGTAAGTGTGTATAGATGGAGGGAATCTAAGAAAATAGCACAGTTTTCAATTCCCTATTTAAAGAATCAGCAAGCCAAAATGATGACAGGATATGCTGAAGTAAAAAGAGCAGAATGGAAGATTTCAGAAGGCAGCTTGAGAAGATTAAGAAAGGTAGCATAGTGGAATGTACAAAAACTTGGAGTTAGAGGAAAAAAGAAGAATTTACATGGTATTTCTAAAGTTGAAATAAGAAAGAAAAAACAAGCTTATGCCTCAAGTTGCAATACTGAAAGAGGGAGATGCTATGGGTAAAATCTTAAATGATCAAGGAAACAACGAAAGAAGATGGAAGGAATATACAAAGTCATTGTACCAAAAAAGAACTGATTGACACTGAAATATTTCAGGAATTCCCATATGAACAAGAGCCAGTAATATTGAAGGAAAAAGTTCAAGCTGCACTGAAGGCACTGGCAAAAAAATAAGGTCCCAGAAATTGACGGAATACCAATTGACATGTTTCAGTCAACACATAAAGACCTGGATGCACTCACCAGTCTGTGCTAGGCAATTTGGAGGAGACCTGCCTAGCTAGCTGACTGGAAAAGATCCATGTATGTTTCCATTACCAAGAAGGGTGATTCAGTAGAATGTTTAAATTACAAATCAATATCATTACTATCACATGCAGGCAAAATATTGATGAAGATCAGGCAAAATCACCTAGGCACAAAATATTGGCAGAGAACTGCCAGAAATTCCAGCAGGGTGTAGAAAAGGCCGTGGCAGCAGGGATCATTGTTGATGCTGGATACATCCTGGTTTAAAGTACAGAGTACTAGAAGAATGTATATTTGTGTTTTATTGACTATGCAAAGGTATTTGACAGTGTGAATCATAACAGATTATGGGTGACATGGGGAAGAATGAGAATCCCTAACACAATTTTGTTCATGGAGGTCTATAGACCAAGAAGCTGTTGTTCACATATAGCAAGAGAACACCGCATTACTTAAATTCAGGAAAAGTGTACATAGGGATTATATCCTTTTTCCTATCTATTCAATGTGTACTGAGAAAATTATATGAAAACTAGACTCCTTGAAGAAGAATGTGGTACCAGAATTGGAGGAAGACTCAATCAAAACCTGCACTATGCAGACAACACAACCTTGTTTGCTGAAAATAAGGAGGACTTAAAACACTTACTACAGAGGCTCAAAGACAATAGATTTTAATATGGGTTGCATCTCAACGTCAAGAAGACAAAAATCCTCAGCACCGTACCAATAGGCAATATCATGATAGATGGGGAAAAGGTAATTGTCAACAGTTCCATTTCACTTTGATTGACAGTCAACATTCTTGGTACCAGCAGACAGGAGATTGCATTGGGAAACCTGCAATGATGTCAGTTTAAAGACTACGAGACTACGTGTACTTGATGCAGGCCATGGGTTTTCAATGTCTTGCAATGCATATGAGAGCTGCACAGTGAATAAGAATGGAGTAGAAGAATCAATGCTTTTGAGTTGTGGTATTAGAGAAGTGTATTGAATAATCCATGGACCCAAAAATCAAACAGATATGTCTTGGAAAAAGTGAAACCAGAGTACTCCTTAGAGGCAAGGAGTGAAGCATTGTCTCACATATTTTGGGCATGTTTCTTAGAGAAGTTATTTCTTACAGAAGAATCTCATGCTTGGAAGGGTCAGGAAAAGAGAGTGAAACCCTCAACAGCTGGATTGACAGAATGACTACAACAATGGACTTAAGCATTTCATACATTAAGTTTTTTCTATATAGTCAAAATGAGAATTTAGTCATGTATCCTTGGAGAATGCTAATGATTGGTTTTAGAACTTATTTAAAATCATGGGTAGGAACGGAATAAGGTAGAGAATAGAGTCCTGCTGATTGCTGTAGGCTTTTGGTCTTCAGTAACAGAGAGTCTGAGAGTTGGAATAACTCACTGCTTTAGTAAAAATTAAGTGCTATTGGAACATTGAAGCCTTCATTTACTTAAGGTTACCCTAGTGGTCTGAGATAGTACAGCTTCAAAAAGCAATTCTCTGCATCTATAAAGTTCTGGGAGATCTGACTCAGCCTGTCTCCTGTGCATGCATTACCATTGATGTTTGTGATTCTATCTGTGAGCCTTGTTAAATTAATCTTGTGTGATTTGTTCTTTAGCGAATAATGATTATTTTCTACGTTATGCTTTTTTTTCTGTTTCTAGCTTAGAGGAGATTATACACTGCTTAATGTAGTTGCCCAAAATATCTATAACCGATCTTAAGCATGTTAGGAGTCTTTACTAGCATAATGGCATCTCACTTCTGAAAGAAACATGGTAAACTTCTTTGTTGTGGTTGCTTGATTTTATATTCTA